TGCCAAAAATTGGACTATTTTCTTCGCTAATTATTCTTCCTCTGTCTATTATTCGGTTTACAAGCTTCGAAATTACATGTTAACGTAACTGGTGTTCACTAACTTCCAAGATTCACTTATTTGACTTGTTCGCCACAAATCGGGGATTTTATTTGCCTTTGAATCCTCAAAGGTACATTATAAAGGCTCCAAGTCTGGATACAGTGTAAACATCTGTTTTTATTTGTTCTTCCTATTCTTAAGTTCGCACGTAAACTCAGGTTAATTACATTACCATAAGTTCTAACTTTTTCTCTTTGCATTGCTGATCGCAGAGCGAAATTGCACCAGGCTTGCATTAATTAAAGCCAAAATAATTACCTTTCAAGTGTTTGAAGAGCAGCTACCTGTCCTTCCGGGTTACCCAAACTAATTTAAATCTCTCTCATCTTGCTTAAAAATATATATTTGCTCACTTGCCTTTCGGTTATTAGTTTTAATAGTGTTTTATAGTTGAAAAAGTTCTCTTTTGAGAAAACCTCACGCTTTTCCATTTAAACCGAGCCAAACTTTGAAGTTAAAGTGGTTTCTATTACACGTTTCTAATGTTATGGCAAGATCTAAATGAATGAAACGTTTTTTAACCGCCTTTGCTTCAGCGATTTATAAAGGTTTCAAATGCTCCATTTCATAAACGTCACTGCGCGCTGTAACTTCTCGATAAAAGTTTCCTTAGTTTCACGATGATGGAAGTAGCTAGTTACTGTACCTTAATGTACTTCAAAAGCAATTAATTAGTTTTGTAGCCGCTATGGAATATTGCCGAACTACGATAACGGAAATGGAATTTAATTTAAAGCTAACTGCCTTTTCAAAGCGTTTTATTGTGACATAAAACTAGGATTTAAAAAAGAAATAACCAAAGCTACGGTATTGTTTTTGACTTTTTGATTCCTTTTTCATGGCCTTTCAGTAGCAGATTCGAATTACTTTGACGTGTGTTTTTGTACATTGGTAATTATTGTTATTGGAGTTTTTGTGGGCTTTGTATATTTTCGATTAAAAACTATCGATGTGTCGGCATGCGCTTGAAAATTATTCGGCTAATGAAAAAATGGAAAGGACAGGAAGCGATGAAACGAAACCAAAAAACTCTCTTCAAAATCTAAAATAACCTGTAGGGAAATTTCTCGGTGGAAGTCTCAGTTCTTAGACTGAAGCGAAAAATAACAATATTCACTTTGTGTAAAAAATGTAAATCGACTTATTGTGTAAACGGGTTTAATTGCGCTCGAAAATAGTACAAATTGAGCAATTAAATTGCAGTCATTTCATGACAAAAATCGTAACTAACCGCAGTTAACATCAATCTTAGAGTGTGTTTATTGTTTACTATTTAGATTACTTGAATCTGTAGATTAAACCGTAAGTGTAGAATAAGTATCTTTTTTATTGCTTTGAATTTTTTAATACTGATGTCACTGATCCAGCTGAATTTAAAAAAATGGCCACAAAAAATACATTAAATCTGTTGATTTTTTCGGGCTTCAACTATTCTTTCGTGGATCTTCAGCTGCGTCGAGCAAACTTCCTCTGATGATGCAAACCACTCGTGATTGCGAAACGTAGAGAGAAATCTGTAACCACGACCGGCTAAAAGTCCCCCAAAAAAATAATCAGTTTCTAGCAATGGCCGATGAAGCCTACTTCTTTTGTGCTTTCGCGCATCTTCTTCAAAATTATTACTAGTGATTAATGAGAATTAAGTTAAAAAATAATTCAAATCATTGTTTTACCGTGAGTTGTTTTGGTAGTTTCTATAAGGAATGCTGATTATATTATTATTGTTGACTGCATATCGGAAATGCACAGTCAATTTGATATTTAGATTAGCAGAAGCAATAAAATGAGACGTTTGTCTTAGCACTTACGTAATGTGATTATTCGTGGAATCGATATTCTGCAAATACGCCCTTTGTACGAGTTGGAAGACAAATAATTCAACGTGATAATTAACGCGCGACTAGTAAAACTAGTTTTCGTATACGGAGAAGTTTTTATTGCGGTATTATGAAGTTGTAGAGAGAATGATACCGATTAGGAATTGTTGGGTTCATTTTCCACTTCATTACGTTCCGGTTACCCGACTTACGTAATATTTGATTTCCCATTAACTTTAACGCATTTCTTGGTATGTGGTGATGGTTCTGAGTTTGGGTAGACGGAAGTAATTTGGCATCAACATTTAAAACAAAAATTCCTGGCCAACTGCATATGCTAACAATTAAGTAACACGATAAAACTGAAATCATGTAAATGTCACCGGTTTATTGCACACCTCTCTTTCTCTTCTTGATCTATATTAATATTAATTTTATACTTCGCTACATATGTCAATTAGTTTTTTGGCCTGAACGATATCTTCGAGGAAACATTATTTTAAACTGATGAAATTCATAAAGAACTACTTAGCATAAACACGACCTACTAGCATATTCATTTTCAGAACAGTATATTTTAGTATATCTGGTGCCATCTGAGCTTTCTTCAATATGTCACACAGGCTTTTTTTAATGCAGGAAGTCAAATTTTAGACATTCGGTATTAATTTCTGGTTTGAAAAAGTGAAACTTTGGCAAAAAATTAACATATTATTCGAAATAAATGCGGGCTGAAGCATTTGAAAACATCACTTATACAACATTTTTTAGTCCATAATTGCTATTTAACAACTTTAATAGTCCAGTTGCATTTGTAGTTGATTACAGTTTTTCTATAACCAGCACATGCATGGTTGGATTCATGCAAAAGTAGAAAACCCTAGCGAATTCAAAGCATTGAAAACATTTTCTTGGTTTTTTGAAGCTGCAAAATGCGTGAAAACTAGCGTGAAAAGATTTTTACCCATTTACATACATATTTGAGACAAGAGCTCCTTTCATAAGTCGAGTATTGATCCTGCATATGAATTCTACTTTACCACGTTCCTTTTTTGTTTCCTCCAGCAACGCTCTAGCGAGGAGGTGATTCTGATAAAGTTTCTCTTTTCAAGTGTTCTATTGTGTTTTCAACCCCTATTTCAAATTTTAATTACGTCGCAGACAATTAATGCGCATGAAATTTCACAAATTAACATACATTGCATAAAAATACCGCAGTTTACCATTATGGGGGCAGTTTACCATTACGAACCTTCACCCAGTTGTTCTTTAACCTAGTGAAAACTGTGTTTGTTCTTGATAGTTTGTTTTCAATATTACGAACAAACATTGAACGAAGCGTTTGGAAACTATTTTTGGCAATTTTAGTAAATATTTTCGATTGCTTCATCGACAATGTGATCACGTGCGGTAAAGCTACTTTCATTTTCCAAGCCACTATTCACGTTGGGAAAGATTACGGGAAAATAAATAGCAATTGAGTTTTTAAATAATTTCAGAAAAAAATAATTAGTTTCATGTGTCTGCCTGAATGCGATATTTGTTTGGTTGGATTGAGAATAATTTTTTTCATTTGTTTAGTTTCGTCTTGTTAATTAATATCTTCTGTCTGTCATCTTGCTTAGCTTGTTTTCGTTGAGTTGAACATCAACCTAATTTAAAATTTGAACCGAATATCCAGAACTTTGAATGTTTTAAGAAAGAAAAATAAACGATTTTTTAAATTCATCGTTTTTTTATTGAAAATGTGTTTCGAGTGCAGCTCCATTAGTTTTGAGATTTCGAACAACTGTTTTATGAACTAAAGACATTTGCGTGTTCATTTCAGGACGCCCTGTATAGGTATAAGAATTATTTTTTTCTTGAAGAAGCTCATTTTTTTAGCAGTGAAAAGAGGTATTTGAATATTACTTACATTGTGTATAACCATATATACAAGGTGTTTGAGAAGTCCATTAATGTGCCATATTCCGAAAATATGCTGTTTTCATTCCTAAATGGATCTTTTAAAGCTTTGGCGATTAACAACAATAGTTGCTTTGTGATAAGGTAGTCATTTACATTTTTTAAATTATGATTTAAAATAACCATTAAATGATTTGCCAGTGATTTTTTCTGATATAAAATGTATTGTTCATGTTCCTGTTCCATTTGGAAGAGAAGAGCTGTATTGCTTATTGCGTAAAAGCAGAAATTGATGACAAAAATAATTTTTGTTATTATTGATAGCAAATTAGATTTTTTCAGTGCATAAATTAAAATACTCGCTATAGATTTTTTTAACGTTTTTTAATGCTTTGAAGCCTTTTTTAAAACACTGATCAAGCTGAATAATGATAAAAATACAACATATGCATTAAACCTGCTGAGCTTATCGGACTTTTAGGACATCGTGAAAAAGAATTTCTTCCCGACGTTTCGCAAGCACGAAAACTCACCAGTTTCAAGCGATGCCCGCGAAAGCCAAACTCTTTGATAAATTATGCATTGTTGCTTTGACACCGTTCAAAACGGCGATTTAACGTTTTTGGAGAATGGTAGATTAAGGTAACAGATCCAAATTTTCGTTATGACTAGCAAAGAATTCATCGACTTATCGAACACCTTGAATAGACATTATATCCACACAGCAAAAAAATGTTGTTTTCCTACTAAAGTAGGGCTGAAGAACGGGTGATTTTGCTGTTACATTTCAGCCTAAAAACGCGAAAATAATGGATTTTGAAAATCATGATTATGAAAACCTTAGCCCTTTATGGGTTGCACTTTTTGTTTTAGCAGATTTTTTATACCAATTGGGAAAAGTAAAATTAGAAGCAAAAAATTTAAACGAAAATCCAGTGTGTGTATCCAATTTTTTTATGTGGCCAATGTCCGTGAAATTCCTCATCAACAGGCACCATATTAAAATTTAAATATATGTTTTTTATTAGTAATATCCTGTCACCATTATCTCCCTTGGCGTTTTAATTATAATGGACGGGAAGCTTGCAATACATACGTATTGAGGCACTAAATTAGAATACTTTGATACCTATTAAAACTTCTGAAATTTAATATTGTGTTTTCTTTTGATTTCAGGCTTCATAAACACAAATAATTTCCAGTCGCTACAAATACATGGTGAGTATGAACAAAATGTCGTTGGTTTATTGAAGAATTTGTTTATTAACTATTATTGGTAGTAAACTAATATTTTTTTATATCACTGTTTTTTTTTATTAAATCACTTGCGACGAACAAACAATTTTTCCAGTCGTACATTTTATTTACAATTCACTAGCCACATTATACACTGCGGTAACAGCTTAAATTTTCGAAAAACAAATCAACATAATTTATCAAACGAATTGTTTTTCGGAATAATGTGGCAAACCGACAATATCATGTTAAATTAAAATGCTGATACATTTGACTTTTAAATGCGACCACAACGAGACTTAGATAAACAATTGGAGCTGAAAAACTGAATTTGAACCAGGCCCAAAATATTTTGTAATTTAAATTCGAAACCTTCGAATCAAATGGTAAATCGCCTGTGCCTGTATTTTTCATTTGTCTGAAAGATAATAATGATAATAATAACTTATTGCCTACAAAGTCGCGACTGCGACACAAGCAACGTCATACTACGACGTAAAAACCTTAATTTAAATTTATCGGAAAATTTGCAACTACCATTAACTGTGTAGAAGAATGGAAGCGGTATATTACGAAATATGTTTTACTCAATTTGGGCAGGATAAAAATTTACCACGCTAAACTTTCCTTACCCCTGTAAAAAGAGTACGCTATTCAATAAGAGGGAAAGCTAATACAGAAATTGATCGGCTAGAAGAGAGGGGCCGGAACAAAAATGGAGTATAGTGACCTAATTTTATTTTATGTTATATATTTTTCGTGGATATGTCATTACAGGGTTGCAATCTTCTGAACATCCTGAACGGTAGGAAATTCGCAAAAACAACAAGTTATCGAACTTATTCTCAAGAACTTCTGTTGTTCAGTTGAGCGCTCACGTCTTTGAGCATCGAACCAATCAAAAGTATGAATTGCGTCATTTAACAATAGAGATATTGCAAACGGAAAGTTTCCCCAAACGACAATTCAGCAAAACGTTTTATTCGAGTGCTCGCACCATAGAAGGCCTTCTAGGTAGGGGCGTTTTATCATTAGTCTAAAAATACCGCAATCTAATCTATAAACTAGCTATCATATTGTATGCATACAAAAGAGGCGACCCCATTTTGGGCAAGTATCGGAATGCCCTATTTTAACTACTGACTGGGGTATATAAATCCGAACAAACAATAAAAACCTAATTTATGAATATAAAGTTGGGGAAAGTCGATCGGTTTTTCGGGTTGGCGCAGTCGTGCAACCCTCTTCCGCAAGCATCTACCCTAATTTCGGCACCAGGGCACGTGGCCAAAGGGCAAAGACCTTTTCTGGAACACGTGGTGGCTTGTTCTTCACCGCAATGTTGCCGCATTGGGGCTGAGTTAATTTTCCTTGAGGCTGATGAGGTATTGATATCAGCCACGGTTGCAATAACGGGATATTCAAATTTTAAACTTCATACATAATAACCCCTTCCTGAAAACGGCAACTGAATATTCAGCAATTTCGAATAAGTCAGATTTCAGATCCACAGCAATAAATCATGATAAAAATGCAAAAGATCGTAGTACAGAAACAGGAGAAGGCTTGTGGTAGTGTGTGGCTTATCACATGTTTTCATTCAACTGTCTTGGTCAAAAAGAACATTTTGGCTCCCACAGTCCAGATATTATGGGAATGTTTTTTCTTCGGTTTGTACTGTACTGAAAATACTCTGTGGGGTCAGCTTCTTAAGTTGAAATTAATTTTCTTTTCGGGCTCTTCTCGTAAAAACAACCTTTCCACTGTCGCATTAAATATTCAGTTGGTCTTGTTTTTCTTACATTTTTATCTGAAACCATAAGAGATTCGAGTCGTTGGGGGTGAAAACTAAAGCCTCAGGTTGATGAAACTTTGAAACCAGCATCAAGTGAATTTCTTTCGCTGTCGGGACTTGGTTGAGATTGTTCAGCGTAACTTGAACGAAAATTGCGATTTATTTCATACTGGCGATCTTCGTCTGGGTCTGCTACAGCCTTTAGATCCCAGACGCGAGTAATTAGATGCATGTTGCATGTCCACCAAGGGACTTCTACCTTACCATCACCCAATTGATTGATTTCAATGATCCTTATTGATTTATGGATATACATACACCTGACCTATTTTTGGACCATCCTATGTAAATGAAGCTGGTATGAAAAATTGACGGGTCCGTGCGTTTTGCTTTAGATTACACAATCTGAAGCTGTATGTGGCAATATTGAGGACTCCGTGGATAAGTCATACTACCAATGTCCAGGTCCAAAACCATTTGGGGAATCAAACAGAAATAATGAAAACGATCTAACAATAGAAAACAAGTTACTGTGGACACCTAAGGAGAAACGATAAATACAGAACCCTGCAGCTCACAATCGAAGGAAACTAGAGGAAAAGACGTCTCTTTGGACGGGGTCTATAAAAGGAACTTATGGCTGAAAAATAACTTCTGTAGAGTCGGTTCGGGCTGCAGTAGATAAAATTAGATGGGCTAATGTGATCGCCAACGTCCTTAGAGAATAAGGCATACCAACAAGAAGAAGTAATCTATGATAAACATCCTCAGACGTACATTCTTCAATAACAGCAACTTTTATTCACAAGGCTGTACAAACATTAATGTCAGATTGAAAACTAACAGATCCAGGCAGTGTTCAAACCACAAACAAGTTAAAATTGTAGACGCATCTGGACACTTTTACTGGATATGTTGGGGATCTCCGAGTGACCTCAAAGTTTCCTCGAATTTGGGACAACCCTTGGTTGTGCAGTGGCAAAGCCCATCTACTTTTTTTTTCTCCTTTTTCACATTTGGTTCTCCTCTTGTAATTTGCTTCATTATCGGCTACTGTAGCTTTGTTTCCGACCACAAACACTTTGCCTCACATAAATTCCGCGATATATTTAATCAAGCTTGCGCCAAGTGAATGTACTAGTTTTTCTTGTTTTGCCACTAGTACACTTCCTTATTTGCATTGTTTAGGTTTCAATAAATCGACAATGCTTCGCTGGAAGTCTGGAATATTTTAACGGCGAAATTTCAGAATGGGCTAATTTCCTGGCTAAGTTTGCTAATAATTTCGCAATCATTGCACACATTTCTGACGAATTATTTCTGCGCAAATCGCGATCCATCGTCTGTTCCCCTTTCCTCTGGAATCTGAGCAAAATCCGACAACTTCCATTATATGTTTTAAACTCTCCAGCCTATCATAGCCAGCGAAATCCTGCTCACAAACGACGCACGCGATTTACTTTTGATAGTCACATGGAAGTTCTGTTTCCTTCTCAGCGCTGTTCTAATCAATCTTATAGTGACTAGGAAAATAGCGCCGATTTCCTTTTCCCCGAAAGGGTGCGGCTCATTTTCGGATTTTCTGGATAATCGCATTTCATGAATAGAACAGTATAGTTAGGATCTTCCAGTTAATCGCTTGAAATGGGACAAACGTGGCTGTTTTTTTAAATCATTGTTAAAATTGCAGCAGATCAGATGTAAACAGATCTACTATTCAGGAAAACAAGTGTTGTAATTTAATTAATCTGTTGGCTTTTTGAACACGTTATTCAACAGTTGGTTGTGCATGTGGGACATTCCAATTTGATTGCCGCATGCAAGGCAAATAGTTTCAGCTTTATAAGGAGTTATTTCGGATTTTGGCGACTTTTTTCCACATACATTTGCTCAATTTACCATACTTTTATTACAAAAGAGTGGAGCCTTGACTCGTCCTGCTGTAAAATCTAAGCAGTTACGGGTCAGTTTTTTAATGCAAAAATACCAGTTGGATTTTAAAGTTTCTAAGCTCGATGTTAATTTTAGGAAAATCGCCATACCACTTTCCAGGACTAGACGATCAGGCTGGACCGGTACTGTTGGAAGAACCAAGCCATTTAGTTGATGGAACTTTAGGAACTCAGCCTCTGAGCTCACCTTCTAGATCTTCTCCCCATTCACAAGGATCGGAAGGTGGCGAGCGATTTTCAAGAAAAGTTTTCGTTGGTAAGGATTCGGAACTACAGGAAGTTTTGCCTACCTGCCATTTTTTGCACATTTACAAACCATTATATTACATATTATATATTCACGTTTATCTTATCTCGTATGTTGAAACTTTTAATCTATTTAATAAGATATGTATGCATAACTTACTATATAGCATAGATAAAACGTCAATTTACTTCGCGATAAATCATAAATATAACAAATGAGATTTTTCCCCATTTGAAGCCATGAAAATGTGTAGGCGTCTAATATTCTGATCGAATTCGATATATGCATATAAAACTGTTTGTTTTTTCCACATTTTCAGGTGGCCTCCCTCCAGATATCGACGAAGATGAAATTACCGTGAGTTTTCGGAGATTTGGCCCTTTAGTAGTAGACTGGCCTCACAAGGCCGAAAGTAAATCGTATTTTCCTCCAAAAGGCTACGCCTTTTTGTTATTTCAAGTAAGTATAATACTAATGTGATTGAAATATTTAAAAATTAATTACCTATTGATCGAAATCTAATTAAAAGTTTTGAGGGTTTTTTCAAAGCAGTGCAGCCTTTAATTATGTAAAAATATCAGCAATCATGAAACAGGGTCTTAAGTAGAAAAAGGCACGTTTTCGGAAAGTGGAAAAATATTTCAGTATCGCGTTTTTATGCTACCCAAAAAAAATATTTTTTATACCGTGATATTATCGGACAAGCCAAAGTACAACTTAATTTAACATTAAAAAACGTCTGCCACTATAAAAAAATGACTGAATTATTTAAAATGTACGTAGCTGCAAGGCAATGAGATTATTTATTTTCCATCCATAATTTATTCACTGGTGCCCAAAATATGACGAGGAGAATCAAAGAATGATGTGAGGTTGATTAAAGAAGGAAAATTTCTCCGACAAAAGATGTCTTGCAACTAACTGAACAAATTATTCAACTTTCTTCAGCATGGAAAACAAAGCAATTGAATCCATAGTGTTGTGAGAATAAATTCTATAGAGTCATTGCTAAATTTAAAGCTAAGTCGAGCATTTCTGCTAACCAAGCAACGCAACTGAGTTATTCCTGGCTCTGCAGTGAAATGATTCCGATTTGGGCCACGAAAAGAGACTAGATACAAAGGCTAGCCGGATGTAATTAGGTTAATTGTCCTATTGGATACGCATTAATGATATACCCGCAAAGGGTTGATTGTTTAATCAGGCCGAAGCCACTTTGAGCATTTAATCCCAATGGAAATCAATCGCTCATCAAATTTTCCTCGAATTTCAGGACGAGAATTCAGTTCAAAGTCTCATTGACGCATGTATAACCGACGAAGATAAATTATACCTTTGCGTGTCCTCGCCCACAATCAAAGATAAACCAGTACAAATTCGACCATGGAGGTTATCAGATGCCGACTTTGTTTTGGACGCATCCATGCCGCTCGATCCTAGGAAGACCGTTTTTGTCGGAGGCGTTCCACGACCTCTCAAAGCTGGTAAGTTTTCAACCACCAATAAACCAGTCAGTTGTGAAGCTGAATTTATCTTCTTTATCACGTAAAGAGCGTTATACGTTTGTAAAAATTGAAATTTTATCACGGTTTTCTTCTCCAATTGATTGGAATTATCTATCATGAAGTGGAGGCTTTTCACAATTTGTGGGAGAATCGGAGCTAACGCGCCAACTGAACTGATCCTTCTCCTGATTCCTAACATTTTCAGTTCCATTATATTCATTATACCCTTGCTGAAATATTGCTGTTGTCCAATCAGCAGAAATTCATCACTACTTAGTAATGGCAGTTTCACATTAGTCATCACCTCAATTCAGTTGAAGCTTTTGTTAAAAACTGAAACATCTTGTTAGTTGCGGTTGTGAATAATTAAAGCGCGATAGTGGTTCAGAAACCGATCCTGTTTATAACTTCTTTGACTAATTTTTTTCCATTTCAGTTGAATTAGCAATGATTATGGATAGACTGTATGGTGGAGTGTGTTATGCGGGCATAGACACCGATCCAGAGTTGAAGTATCCGAAAGGAGCCGGAAGAGTCGCCTTCAGCAACCAGCAAAGCTACATAGCGGCCATAAGTGCCAGATTCGTTCAGCTACAGCACGGCGATATCGATAAAAGAGTAGAAGTCAAGCCATATGTTCTGGACGACCAAATGTGTGATGAGTGCCAGGGTCAGAGATGTGGAGGCAAGTTCGCTCCATTCTTCTGCGCAAATGTTACTTGTTTGCAGGTAAGGTAGTTTTTAATTTTTTTTCATTGGCTTGAACAAATCTTTAGTCTTCAGGCGGCTTCAGTTTGAAATTTGCGATAATTTTATACGGGCATAAAATGTTTGAATGCAAATCTTTTAGTTCTCACTGCTTAAAATATGTAGTGGATTGCAAACTGTTGATAACAAGAAATTATTCGTAGTACTATTGTGAACATTGTTGGGCTACAATCCATTCAAGACCAGGACGGGAGTTCCATAAGCCCTTGGTTAAGGAGGGCGCAGACCGGCCTCGTGCCGTGCCCTTTCGTTGGTGTTAACGCAGGCGCGTCGCACCTGCGCCGCAGCCCCTTAGCTTATTACCACACACTGGCAGCGGCCCCCTAGGCGAAATGTTAGTACAGTAACTTATCCCGCGGTACATCGTTTGTCTTTGATGGAATTTACAAAAGCCATTTTCGGATTTCTCAAACATTGCTTGAATGCTTGAGAAGGAAAATTCAGTAGTATTGCGGTTTAATAGTAAAAGATATAAAAATACATTTAGAGCTTGATGCAACTTATTATCTCTTCATCAGCTACCAATTAATAATTGCCATTCAATATTTCTTCTTACTCTAGCTAACAATATAAGCTTCTAGAGTTAGAATAGTGACAGCAGAAATAGTTAAATGTTTCAATTCAGCGAGCGTTTTTTACTTCATCAAAGGCATTCGTTCGTTATGGGGTTATTTATCTAGTAGCAATTATACATACCTATTTAAAAAATATACATGTATAACCGAATATCTTCTGTATAGAGGAGCGGGACGATAGCTTTACGATTTTTCTGCACTAGTCATCCAGCGTTATGAATTCTCGACTGATTTGACATGGACATTTTCCTTTTTGCTAATTTTTCCAAATGTAGCTTTAATTGTTACTCAAATTTAATAATCTTACATTTTAGAGCCAACTGACTAAGGTAAACTTGCCAACTTTTAGACTGAATAAATATTCATTGCTTGCAAATATCGAAATAAAATACTAACCAGGTGAACGCTACTCTGCTTCACTTTCTAATTCTGTCACAGACGTTTGGAACTATTTTGTTTTCTTTTCCTATTTGCTATTTTAATCTAAAAAATACATTCCACGGTTTTCGCGTATATTTCAACAATCACGTACACACCAGTCTTTTTAAAGCAATCAATATAAATGTTTTCTAACACCCCTGTATTTTATTACGTTCAATATATATTTGTTTTCTTCACTATAAATAAAACTCTTGAATCAGCTATCAATTAATCATTAAGGCGAAGATACAAACGCGCTAATGCACATATTTAAAATTTTTGAACTTTCATCAGGCAAAAACGAATGAAGAGATACATTTCAATATTTAACAATAAAATACAAGGTGTTACTTAAAAAAGTGCAAGGATAGATCCTTATTACACGTGCAAATCAATGAATTTTTATTTTGATTTTTACATTCAATTTAATTCCTTGGGGAAGCTTAAAAACTCAATGAAATTTTCATGGAAAGAAATCATTAAATAGTGCCATCCTAAACAAAAACCAGCCAATTGAACTGGTAAGTTTACCTTAAATGAAACGAAGTTTTCCTAGGATTGAAACAATCCTTGTTAACTGAAAACAATATAAAAAGTTTTTCCATCTAATTACTCTAGAATTCCACAGTTTCCTTACTACTAATAATAGCGTATCCAATATATTATTTCTAATCGTGTATAAGTTGTATTTGACTATATAGATCGAGTGTGGTAATTCTAGTCCAATTATTTTGGGCAAAATGCTTTAACGTATAAACCAAAGCTTTGTGCCTTTTTAAATAATCGTTTTTAAGAAAATTAGATGAATATTTGTGTTCTGATGTGTGGTATAAAATATTTCCAATGCGCCCGCCACTGAGGGCGTTTACAGGGTAACAAAAGTTATCTTGCACGAGGCAAAAAAATGCATAGGCCGACAAAAAACGTAAGAAAATCAAAACTTTTAATGCATGTCCTCTTTATATCAGTTTACAGTTTTTTTATAGGTTTTTGGGGGGTAAATGTATATATAATTGAGCTAAGGCTTAACTTTACATTATTTGACTGTTTAATGTAAGTTAGATATCAATGATATTTAAAAATAAGTAATAAATAATTTCTCTTCCTTTTTTATATTTACATTTTTCTACTTCTATACTTAAGTAGATAGTGAAATTCGTTGTGTTGTATTTTAATTACAATGCTTTTGATACAGTTTTATATGTAAAACTCTAAGTTACTGGGAAAATGTCTATGGAGCAAACTGTGAGTATTTCATCAGTTAACGCGGTACAGTCAGATATTGTCAGGGTATTGTAAATACTAGTCTAATGAAAGAGGATACTGTGCAGTTACCGTTTAGCTTAAAACCGATCGTCCAGCTCGAGTACCTGACTGGAAAAAATTGCGTTATATTTCTGCTGCCCTGCCAATTATTCAGCCTCCCTTAAGATAAACAGTATAAGGGCATGGTCTTCAGTAGAACTTGAATCGTCGCTGATTTATTTAAGCGAATAAATTTTGGCGGGCCTAGAAAAATTACGGCAGTAAATGTGAAACAAATCATACAATTCTTATTGACTTGGAGATGACCCCAGGCATACATAATCTGCATTCAAATATGCGACGCTAAGTGTAAGCGAATCCACGTTGTTTTAGATAACTGACGATAGTAGGTACTACTACAATAGTGAGGGCTGTTGTGCGAGTTTACAATCTGTGATTTTGTCACTTTCCCGGGAATCGTAATCCGGCTATTGTTACACAAAATGGAAATTTATTTTCATTATATTTGTAATCGAACATTCTTCCAGTTAGTGTTCAACCCGATTGATCATTGTCTTTTGTCCTATCAATTGTAAGCAGTTTATTTTTGCAGAAATTTTTTAATGCAGAAAAATTTGATTAAAAACTTTTCGCGAAAAACTATTAATATTTTCAGTCAGAGTATTTGCTCGGCTGTGAAATATTGCTACATTTAAAATTAACATTTCCATTAAATAACATGAAGTGTTTCCTTAAAAACAAGCCTTATCGCACAAGATTGTTTCGTTGAAATAAAATACGCAGTAAAAATGAGCGTATTTGCTAAATAATTTTTTAGGTGACAAAACCACAGGTTTTAATCACCATAATACTTTTTATAGCTGGAAAATCACACTTCTTCCCAGCCCTAGTTGGGAGAAATAGCACATGGTGTTTGTCGATATTCTTAAATTTTAGCGAAACAATGTTCGGGTGCCGCGATTGTCGGTTACCCTGTATACCAATGAAAGCATTTATTCAAAGCCCTAGAAGTTAATGCTAATTATTGCTGTCGAGTTTCAACTACTTACACACCTAGATTTTATGGGAATTTCTCCTTCGTTTTTAAAATATGTGTATCAGATCTGGTTCTGGATTTGGATCAGGTTGTGGTGCGAAGACAAAATTCTAAGTGTACACGATTTCATAAATGAAATAATATTTAGCCATGTAGACATAAATTTAAATCTTTGGATGTAACGTTTATATGGATATATACCCTATCGGATCAAATATTCTTTGTGATGAATAGAATAATGAATTTCGTTAGTGTTTACTAAACAATAGGAATTTAACTAAAATTTTAACTACAAGTAAGAATATTAGGAGAAAATATTGGTTCCAAAATTTTGTACTTAGCATAGCTTCAGTAGGTGTTTTAGTGTTGTTTGAAAATGTTTCGGAAATCTTCCATTTTTGGCAGCTTTTTTGGCGGGGCCATCCTATACACAAAAACCAATCAACGATCAAAAAATCCCAAAAACTCGTCTGTTTATACAGCACCTACTTACGCTTAACTGCTCGCTAATTTTATATTAAAATAAATTTTAACAAAATATATAGAACGGTATCAGTGAATCAGGTCAAAAACCAATGAAAAACTGCACATTTCTGAATTTGATAAACAATAATAATAACGTAGAAAAAAATATTATACTTAACGTTAAACTAGTTAGTATTTTTCGGGCTTACCTTTGATCTGTCTGTATTTTTTAAATATTTTATCAACTCCTTATGAGAACTGAAAGAAATTTTTTTGCGCTTTGACCTTCTAATGTTTCCATCCCATTTTAAAGAATAATGAGCAAATCCACTAAATTTTTCATTTTAGCCAGCAAGAGCTTTGGCTCGTTTGCTGTTTATATTATAATGGAGACGGGATTATCCGATTCTTTTTGTTATTTATTTGGCTCGTATACGTTCAATGGGTCTGAGGTTCTAAAAAGTTTACTCATTTGCTTTGTGCCTTGAGACACATCTAATCATTGTTGAAATTCTTACTGCCAGCTAGTCATAACTTGTGTAACTCTTCAGTAGTTGAGATTTATTTTTATTGTGTTGTTGTGGGTGCAGTTTTGGGGGTTTTAGCAGAGTCGTTGATTGGTTGAAAAAAAACTGAAGACCATGTGGCTATTGACCAGCTTCCGCTTAGTGTCCGCCATGATAACCGCTATCCTTTAACATCCCTTATTTTCATGTGTGATACCATAGACGTTTTAAATGTATTAAATCAATTTGCACGGATATGTATAGTATATATAATAGTATCAGCTATTCTGAGACTTTGTATTTTTTAAATTTGAATTTTTATACTAAACTGTTATAAATGGTGATTAGTAAAGTTTGTGTGCAATAAAATCCAGCCTCGGGAGGCAATTTTTAGAGTTTTATCTTTTACTGTAACTCATAAATATAACGTTTCCTAGGAAATTGTGTATATAGCAGACCAAATGGCGCATATTGCATCAGGCTGCATTCTCTCTAGCCAGGGTTGTAGTTAGCCGAGGTTCAAATACGTACCTATTCTACCTAGTTTAAATGGCTTACGTCCGTTCACTTTGTCCGAGTAGTGTCCTTACTTGTTAAAACGGCTTAAACATGTATACCAAAATACAAAATTGCTGTTTCCTCATGGTAGTAAGCAAATCATGCTAAATCGGAAAATTAAATTGCGACCAAGTTGGAAAGATCTGAAGGACATTACTTTGCGAAGCTGAGTTGACAATGCTTGAAATTGAAACCATCTACTAAAATGGTACAAATATGTATTGATATGATTTGTAACAATTTACACTCCTTTTTCTACTGTTTGTATTCGCTAAAGCATGTCTGAGAGAGTAGAAAGGACAGTGATGCGACATATTGTATCATACTCTGTAGGCCATTATTGTCATTTTATCCAATTATCCGTTTATGAGATTTAGAATTTTGCGCTGTCAAGTATTTTCACTGGCCAGCGCCTATGTTTCATATTTTTAATATGTATAAGCTCTGTATTTATTGGAAATCTTTAAAGTTTTATATTTTCCACTTTTTATAACTGTTTTAATCGAAAATGCTTTTCTCTTGTTTAATATTTTTATTACTGATTGATTGAAAATGACCAGCGATTGCAATTTTGCGATTGTTAGCCGGATTTATCGATGAAATTCGTACCACTTCCCATCAAAACCGTCTTAATTACTAACCCCTAATTTTTAATTCAAAGTCTGCATCGAAAGGAATTTTGACTAAACAACACAAAGTTAAATGGTCAAATTTCTTTTAGAAAGCGGAAAATTCAAAGACATTAGCACGTATGTCACAGAAGGCTATTTTATCACTTTATACAAGATCGTTCATATCTTTTGAGTGATCAACTAGCTATGCTCCGTTGTTTTTCTTCAACTAACTTTGTTTTTTTTTCTGGATTGTATTGAATTGGGATTTAGGTGCAAATTTCATACGTAGTTACCCTAAATTAGTGCAATATCGGGCTGTGTCTCGTCTTGGCAAGGGGGCTCGATTTTAGGGATAGTCAATTGTTTCAGATTCTTATTGTTGGTCTATTGGTTATTTCGGTTTTTGCCCGTTTCAACCAATGGCTGTTTGACTAGCACCAAAGTAGTTTTTTATTATAATTGTATTATTTTTTTGTTATAATGTATTTTACAAAATATTTAAATTGTTTTTATAATTATTTTATACACTTTTATATGTTTGTTAGTCAATTTTGAGGTAAGGTTTGTAAAACTTCTTGAGAAGTTCCTCGTTTACTATTTTGTTAGATATCAGACTTTTTATGTTTTTTATAAATACTATATAAAATGTCAATTTGTGTTTATTTGATAAACTGCTGTTAAACTTCGGTACGAATTTTTATTTCTAACGGCACATAAGCTGAGGTGCTAACTAGGCCTTCATTTCGCGTTTTTCTACCCCGTTTTTCTTTGCAGTTTCCTTACAGAACCGAAAACTTGTGCGAAACTAACCCCAAGATTCCATCCTATATTAATTTCCTTTTAAACGAATCTAGACACTTTTAGCCTCCATTTAAGACATATGTTAAGACGCTTTTTCAAAGGTAAGTGGTTTTTTAATTAATTTAACTCCCATACTCACTCCATCGTTGCAACAAAACATTTTTTATGCCTGTTTAATTACGGAAAATTTCAATTCAGTAGTCAATTGAATTTTTTTGAGCATTTGTATAAAAAAATACACAGTTAACTCCGACTAAAAAAAAATGGTTCACAAAGTAATGTTAACAAATTGGGCGAGTTCGACGATTAAAATCACTTGCGGCTTCAACCGTATATATATTTGTACTGATTATATTTCAACATTCCTTGCGTATGGATTTTTTAACTTATTGCTAACGTTCTTAGGACTTCCTAGCGGCTGTAGAGCTTAAACAACGATTTAAATACGATTTTCGTTACGTATTTTAATCGAATTTTACCTACTTAATTTACCTGGCGCATCGTGCGGGAATCAAACTATAGCAAATCTCGTAAAAAACGTAAAGCTTGAATGCGCTACCTACAAAATGTTATCCAAGAACGCTATTAAAAATAGCTGCATTTCGCACGTTATACAAGGTGATTTCAACAACATTATTACGAGAACAATTCGTTAAAAAAAATGGCAAACTGAAGAAGCCAAAATTTAGAATTATGCCTTACAACTTCAGTGTCTCAAGACCACTTCCACAACACTGCATTGGTGAAAAAATAAGTTATTGTCCTCTTTTCATTTGCATACGTTAATTGAAGTTGTGTTTAAGTGTAACGAATTATGAATATGTATGTATATTTATTAATATCTGCTTTGGAATAATATTATGACTTTTATTAATATCTTGCTACAGAAGTGTGACTGATACTTTTGATGTAAATGTTTTCTCAGCCTGATTACAATCGAGAGGTAACACGAATAGGCCCAACATACAATGTGGTTAAAAACAGCTGTTTTCAACAAAAACTACAGGTTTGTATGGGGGTGCATTTCTTCCAGAATGACTCGACAATTCCTAAATATTTCCATCACCAATTAAAACATTGGGTGTTGGAAAAGAGAGTTTATTTTAAATTCAGTTAGAATTTAAAGGCAAATAGAAAAATATATACCATGTTATTAAATAAACGAAGACGAAACAATAATCATTTTACAAAGCAAGTATTTACTACCATTTTACGTATTTTACAACGTATGCTTGAAAACTTAAGTACATTAACACTAATGATCTGAAAAATAAATAAAATTCTTCGATTATGGATATAACTCTTTAAGCAGAAAAGAAATGAACACAACTCTTTATGTGCAGGCAATACTCGAATATACATGAAAGGTATGAGTAACTTATATCTAGCAACAAGTGCATGTTTATACAAAAATAACACCAAAAATATAGACAAAATGAAACAATATATAATTTGTACAAACATGTTAGTCAGTTTGACTTGGAACGAGCACGTCTGAAGTTCAGTTTATTGATCAACCAATAGAACAACATACAATATCCCTTTAAGCTCGCTATTAGCCAAAGGATGAATACAACGAGTTATATCCAAAAATCTGATTCTGTCGTGAGATGAAAAAAATGGGTAAAAATGAATATCTGGCTCCAGAAAAGGCTACGGTTACACATTCTAATATTATTTAACCACACCACATACCACATAGATGAGATTAATCACCGTATATTATTTAATTAATCTTTTTATGATTGTATAAGGGTATTAATCATTAGAAGTCAGATGCATTGCGTGAACATACGTTTAAAATACCAGTCTAATACGCGTCATTTTGCATTTATTCAATTCGACGATTTTTTTTAGTTTACCACAACTTTTTTTCACGTTTGCTGCTTCAGCTGCGCAAGTTTTATTTTCACTTCGTGAAAATTCGGTCGTTTTTCCGGATAGAAATCCCATGCCTAAAACAATAATGTCATCGTCTAAACGTATAATAAAACTAACTTTAAACCTCAAAGCGGCGATTCCAAAGCAGTCAGGGAACTATGCAATGCGAACTAACTAAACTAAATTAACTGGGAAAGGTTAACACTTACCTGCCGCATAATTGGGTAAATTTCTTTCGGGCAACCTTCAGGGGCTTCCATTTTGTAACCATTCTCAACGTGCCGAACCACATCTGCTAACGGCTGAAATACAAATATATTCATTGGATTTCGGATACTTTTAGACGGCAAATAATTAAATTTTACTGCCCGTCTTTATCTTAGCTTTTAATGTAATAGTATCATTTTTTTCTTTTCAGTTATTAAAGATATTAAATAAGTCTGTCTTATTGGATTAAATAAACGATTCCATTTGTCTATACGCCTTGAAACTTTTAAAAACATGGAAAATATTCACGAGTAGTAATAAACACGTGGCGATGAACTTAGTACAATTAAGAACGTAATAAGTTCTGCAACTCATTTCGTACATTGTAAAATTGATGATTTTAGTTAATATAATGTATACTTACTATTCTAGGATAAGGAACACGACCAAAGGAGTATATTTCCCAAAGAAGGATTCCAAAACTCCACATATCGGATTTATTTGAGAATTTCTAGAAATAAGCCCAGTTATTAAAACAGTATCGATGGTTGTTTGGAAAATATTTACATTGTACTTAAGCGCTTCGGGTGCTGTCCATTTGATAGGAAGCTTGGCGGATTCCGAAGTGGCATTTTTCTCATTCCGAGCTAATCCAAAATCCGAAACCTTTGCTCTGCCGTTCTCTGCTATTAACACATTCCTTGCAGCCAGGTCTCGATGTACCACATGCATTTTTTCCAAATATTCCATGCCTGTGAAATATTTACTCTTTGATATTGCCACACTTAGGAAAATACGCGAAAAATGTACCTGAACATGTATCAAAAGCGAAATTAATTTGGTCCTTTTTTGAAACATGCAATCTTCCCCGAGAACGCAGATAGTCAACCAAGCTTCCTTTACTCATGTATTCGGTAACAAGGTAAATTTGGTCTTTTTTTCGAACAATTCCCAGCAGGTTCACAAGGTTTTCGTGGTGGAGCGATCTAAAAAAATATGTTAAGAGAAATGTTGCAATTTCAAGCGCTATTGCGCTGTTCTTACTTCATCAATATAGCCTCAGCTTCACTAGAATCCTTCAAAACTTTTACAGCCACCTTTTGACTTTTCCATTTCCCCAACATTACTTCACAAAATTCGCCTTTTCCAATGGGTTCACAAACCTGAAATGTGTGCTCAATAAAAACACGAATTGAACATTACAGTCATTTAACATACCACCAAATCGTGCTCCGGAATCACACAAAGATCGTCACTTTCTTTGGAACTGCTTTTTACCAAAGCTTTGGAGGTGTCGCTTTCCTTTGGAAGCGCATTGACTAATTTCGTACAAAGACCATCAGCATCATTCTTGTAATGTTCTATTAATTCCTCTAGGTTGTCAAAATATTCCTCATCATCTATTGTCAATTTACTGCCATGAGATTTAACTCTAAAATCGATAAGCTAAGTAAAACAATTTCAGACTTCAGCCTTCGCATTACCTATAATGTTCAACCTTCGTCTGAAAACATACACACAGTGTATAATCGCCAGGAAAATTGGTAGACTCCCTGACTAAAAATAGGCCATCTGTCCTCGGTCTTAATAAAGCTTCTGCTTCTTCTCGTGATATTTTACCATGAAACCACCTTAAAGATAAAGTTAAGTGATGTTTTAGCCCAGTAAGTAAAACGTGTAATTAATGAATCAACACTGAAGTCGTTCGATGAAACTTACGGTGTTGTCGTATATTTCGAGTTAATTCGCAATGGACTCTGAAGACGATTAACATTGACATCATGCTCAGAAGTAATAATTTGATTCTTAATATTTCCACCTTCAGGACTAACATTCATATTGTTTTGTGTTCTTAACATTAAACTGCACTCGTTTAGCACATTATTATCCATTTGGTGTGGCAAGTCTTGAGGAATCATCTAAAAACACAGTTCAGCGTTCACTTCTAATGCCCAGTTAGATTTAATAGATAATTTCAAGAAATTGCTCTTCAACAAAATTGCATTTTGAAGATATTGTGTGGAAATTTGGCGCAAAATTCAACAGATTATTTTGCCCTTTGAGAAAGCTCCAAATTTTGAATTAATCATATACTCTGCAGGGCACAAATCGCTTTCTGGTGAGACTCAGTCACTCACTTCCAGACTTGACCGCTCTTTGTCAAAGTTTTAAAAAAGCTATTATCCGCTGATGTCCGAGAAGAAGCGCCAAAAATTATCTATGTTTCAGATCTCCACGCTTTTAATCAACAAGTGTATTTCTGTTAATGTGTATATTAGCCATTTAATTTACAAACTGTTGTTGATTAAAAAAAATGCGGATCGATCGGGACTTAATCCCTTAAAGATTCGTTCTCTCAAACAATTAAAACTAGTGAAAAGTAGTGATGCAAGAATATGTACCGATGAAACTCGTCAGTTTTGTCAGAACAATAACAGGAACATTGAGAAAATGCGCCAAACCATAATTCCTATTTACCTTAAGAACCTATAAAACTACCAGCAATTATGCAGGAAGTCATTTCTTTTGTATTTACCAACAAACTTGCCGATTTCCCTTTTAGCCTGGCACCATTTGATTGTAAATTAATGGAAAACATTCCAAGCAACTTTGATTGAATTTGATGGTCGCATTCTAGCAGTGTCTTATGTAAAAGATACATTAGCACCTACTTATTTCACTGATTTAAATTAAGATTAGTTTGCATTAGCAAACATGTTATGATATTACAAATTTAAAACTTGATTAAAATTCGAAATTTACTTGTTGACAACAACTATGGAATCCAGTTATACCTGAACTGCTATTAAATAGCTGAACCATTTACTCCAATTAAATAATTAAAGCGCGGGAAAATAATTCCGATTGACTGTAATCAATTATAATTAGTTGCTTCTTGGTAATCATAATACTGTTAATGTTAGATTGCGCAGCGCCGTTTTCATTATTATTCCTCGGGTTATGAGAACGATGGAATTTAAATAAGATTATCACGCTTTGGGTGAAATATTTTCTCCTTTTTAGAAAACGTATATTTAGCACACTAAGGATTTTAATAATTTATCTCCTATTTGCTTGAAATTCATACATTTGCTGCCCACTTGTTAATTAAATTTGAAGGCCTCACGTGGCGCAACCACAACTTTTGCAATAGACCACTAAACACATGCACATCCTAATTTATTAACCATTTTCCGAAAACGACCATAAATCGACTTATTAAAGTATTTCCCTGGATGATTCAAAACGGCAAATAGATTTAATTATTATTTTCCGTTGCCATAAACATGTGACTCATATTTGAATTATTGCATGTTAAAGACGTAGTTAGATAATTGTGGTTACCAAATTGGTTGAACGTTATTCCGAGCGAACACAGTGAGGGCCATAAAGCTGAATAAATTAACCCAGTATGGCTATCGCAACTATAACTTTGCTACTGTATGGTTTTAAAATAGGCAAATAGATTTACATTTACATACATTAACCATTTTAACATCGAATATGGTTCTCTGGTTGGGCATTTAAAAATACTTTACTCCGTTTAAAGCTTTTTCTAACCAACTGCTAGATACCGGGTGTCTCACTTTCAACGTTAACAACAAATTTTTTTGAAAAACTGCAGGTTTTTTCTTAATTAATTTCTTCACTAATTGGAAGTTTTCTCTTGCAGCTTGCGCTCTTTTGATAAAGAATTCGTTCTTTATTGTGAAATAATAGTACTCTTTATTAATCTGCAGTAGAAGACACGGATAAAAATTCTCTCCTTTTAAACGTCAAAGATGTTGAGGCAAAGTACCCAAGAAAAAGGTTTTGAAAACATGAATCCGCCTCAACCATAAATTCGATGAAAGTTGGCGAAACTTTATTGTTCAAAACACCCGGTAAATTGTGTCAGATAATCTTGACATTGCTGCTGCTGCTGCTGCTGCTGCTGCTCGAGATAATTAAATTCATTAATTGCTTCAGATCGATCATGTATGTCTATCTATAGTGTGCTGAACGAAGCTTGTTTGTTCGTTTGCAACTTACCCAAGATGATTCCTCATATGGACGGGTAACTTCGCTGGGGGTATTTCGTTTTATACCCCTTGCAGGAACTGTAGGGGGGCTGGTGGTGGATGAGGTTTCCCATTGACTATCAGGCTGTCGGTACTGGTCAAAAATGTAGGGCTGGTATCGCTGAAACGAAAAACATTGATTACAGAACATAGTTAAATGAACAACTATCAATATCAATTAACGTACACGTACATTCAGCATTGATAAATATGATCGGCAGTATAGATAATGAGCAGATAAAAAAAATCGGTGATAGAACTAAGTTCCCTTTTAAATGTATAAATAGAGACCGAAACTGACTCAACAACTAGCCAAAATGCACCAACTCAGTTAATCAAACAAAAAACGAAAAAATCAGGAATAAACTTAACAAAGCTGTTTTATCATGGCTAATCTAAAATCGCATTTATCTTATCGTTAGGGTGTAGGCCTTAAAATAATTAAAATACCAAACAAAAAACAAACTACCGGAGTAAATACCACCCACATGGGAGTAATATGAATCATTAAAAGAAAAATAGAAAGTAGATGAAGGCGTTTATTTGATATGTACACAAGTGCTGCTATAATAAGTGAAAGTATTTCGTTGGACCAACTTATAAAGTGACACGCTAGTAAAAATTTTCTACTGAATTCCTTTTGGCACATTCAATTATCGTACTTCTACAGCTTGTACATTAACATACTAATGCAGGAAAATTCACATCACACACAACTGATGAGTAATCGAATGCATGGTCAGCAATAATTTTATGCAATTTAAGGATAAATAATTGAAAGCTTATAAATTAATGATTGTTTTGTTTCTAAAACCGACAGGAAAAGAGACACACTGTTGAAATATTCACTCGCATACTAGCAAATAAAATTTTTGTATTTACCTACATCTACGTACTAACAGCACAGTGACTGAATTGATAAATTCTTATCGAATTATACCTATGAGTAACATATAAGAACAAAAACTGAATGCTGATTTGATTCTTCATTTAACAATGAGAAAATTGAATGCATACTTAACAAATGAAGACAAACTATATAATGCACCATTTCCTATGAGAGTGAATCAGGCTTTTTAAAACCCAATGTATAAGACCTTGGCTTTGTTAAGTAAAAAATTAGGATGCCACATGTATTCTCGGTTATGTAATTTATACAATATAATGTCAACAAATCACATTATTTAGCACTTGCAAAGGTTTTCGCTGTGGCGAATTTTAATGATACAAAACTCTTCGCACATGGAAAGCTAAAAATATGTACATGGTAATATCTGATTTCATGCTGTATATTATTTCAATGAGTAATTGAATAATCTGGCTTGCATGCAGAAAAAGCGAACTGGTAGAGGAAGTTCAAATTTTATTTATGCTGTGGCATTTTTGCATATAAAAAAAAACAAATCACAAAGAACGATCAAGTGAAAAACGGTATATCAAACGTTACAACATAGCTGGTTTATTTTTAAATATAACATAGAGATGTTTAGCCACATTATTTAATTTCGATTAAATATATCAGTAGGGCAAGTAACACAAATTTCCCAGAGAATGAAGATGATATAAATTCCTTAAACTTAAATCACAGTATAGTACCCATTCGAGAAAAGTAGGTCCGAAATTGAGTTAAAATGGTGAGAAACGAGTAACCTACAAAGTCTGAATTACAATAGGTATCCACATAACAGTTAAGCCGATCGCATTACTTAATTGAAATAGTTGTTACTAATTATTTCTGAGAACTGTTGTACAATGAATCCCTCCCTCATGCAAGAAACATGCAGTTTCAGTCATAATCTTACATAGTAAATGAATTGAAAAAAAAGTATAAACAATCAATGAATAACGGGTATTTAAAGGTAAAAGGTTTATTAATAAGGAAATTAAATAGCCGCAAGGTTTACAGTGACGAAAGAAGCAAGGACAGTGTTGATCGAATAATTATCCAGAAAAATTCTAATGCTAAGTAATAGCATAGATTTGTAATTTGTTTAATCCCCATAGTATCGACCGTACAAATGAATACGTTTTAATACGATTTAATTTGAATATGAATGAATGTTATCTAGAGTGGTTTTACTGAAAGAAAAGCGACTAATACATACGCTTTTCCACAACGGCTCCCAATTTGCATTTTGGTTTAATAAAAAAGCCTTATATTAATAGTCAACGGTAAAAACTGTACCATTAGGCACTTACCGTTGAACAAATGTCTGTGATTACAAGTCTGGTGTAAACGAATTTTTGCTGTCGACAAACATATATGAGTGGAACCGTAAATGCGTGTATGGCAAAGAGAAGAAACAGGCCGGATATAACAGAGCGAGTGCTCGGGGCGACACCCCAAGTATGCCTGGTGATCCAAAATCTTGTTCTTCAGCAGGTCAAGTGGTTCACGTCGAAAGTAAAAATCAGCCCTTCTACTGCAGATGTTTAGTGTTTTGTCCTGTTTTTCGACAGCAAACTTTCGCTCACAACACCTTATAGATACAATTATTGTATAAAACATCCAGAATGTTACACGTTTAAATAAAATTAAGGACGCAAATTGCATTAAAATATGAGCAACAGTACTGTGCCAATGAAGTGCTCGCGAATGTCGTTAGTTTGTCTACATTTAAAAGGTGAACAAGTTGGGTTTGAATACGAGGAAGTGTCCTTTAAAGGCAAAAAATTACTATATCAAATTCATACTGGATAGAATATACTTAAATGTGATGTTGAGGTTTTGAACATGATTCGAGGAATTTTCACCGAGTCACCGATGTTGATTTTCATTTCCATTATACAGGGTGAATTTGACCAGCACGTTTCAAATTAAAAAAAAAAAACTAGTGAAAACGTTGACATGGCTCACCAAACGCACTAGATGGAAGTATGGAGGAATATTAAAATTATTGATTTGATTTTTTGGCGAGTGTTGGCAGTTTCTCTGAATTTTTCCAAGTAATTATTTCAACACAGTCAAGGTGAAAAACAGTTCATTGTGTGAATCAATGCAAATGATGAAACATGAATAAGACATAAATGTAAAAATAAATAATTGAAATCAATAACTTTAAGGGTAAATCATCCAACTGAAGAACCCGTAGAGAGAGAGAAAGCAGAAAATCAAGGAAAACTGCCGCATTAATTTCGATAGATAAAAAATGCAGACCTACTGTCGATTAGACTAATAGATTTACGGTGGACTGGTTTTTAAAACGATCCTCTATCATTGCATGTGTATGAGAATTTTCGTGTTTCCAATTATGAGCATTAGGCAGGTTGAATATGCCACGTCGGATAAAAGTGGCTTCATCCGCCCATAAACTAACCCATTTCTCAAATCTCCAGAAACCAGTTTCTTGCATACGACGGAAATGAAAAGCATGTTCAGGTTTCAATGTTCTTCAAATTGTCTCCCTAGGAATATACAGGGTGATCGAACGAAAAAATTAGGTAATTAATAAATTCGACAAACTTCTGGCATTTTTTTCTTTTGCAAAAAAATAAAAATTATTGGCCGATACGAAAAAATACAAAATATGAGAAAGCTTCTAAGTTGAACAAATAATTAAAAAAAAAATTGGCAAACTTCAGTGTCGAGTTTAGTTGTTAAATGGGAATAATTCAAAAAAATACCACCCTATATATTCTCACGACGAGCATAACCCGCTTGCAGTTCAGAATGTGAGGTAAACATCGCGAATACTGCAAGAGTGAGAAGGAAAAAGCAAAACTTCGAGTTTAACACTGTTTTTGTGAGCTTTGTCGCCTCCTTTATTTTCTCGATTAAACTTGAATCACTCTGTATACATCAACAAACAACAAATTAATATCTGCATATTTGTTATGTGTAAAAACCGAAGGCATTTGAATGATTTTCATATAACTAAGCACGTTCTTGCAAGTAACAACTATTAGACTAAGTCGAATTGCTAGTTAATTACTCATGTTTTGCATCATAAGACTGCTGTTCTCGACAACAACTTACATTAGAACTTCCGATTAAGAGTAATTGCTTTGTTAAGAAAACAATGGTTTTTCAAAATGTGATTGCAATTTGCCGTTGTCTCCAATCGGGTAAAAGATAAGGGCAAAATATTAATAATTCCAAATCTGAAGCTGTTTTAGCTTAGTCTGTTTTTCAGTGAGTACCTTTCTCACATCCTGGTGATGACAATTATGTAGAATTCGAAGTATTTTGCACCACTTGATATTTTTCGAACAAATCGACCCTTTCTTCCTCTCATGAAGTTTTTATTCAAAAAAATCAAACGTTTTTATGCGTATTTCTTGAACTCAAGGGAATGTTTCCATCGTATTAAGCTCTCAATATACATATACAGGGCGTCCCGAAATAATTGGTCACCAATGATAGGTCTAACAGAAGACCTGAAAATAAGGACAATACTTCATATTAAAAAAATTTATCTCGCTTCCTTAAGGAATTATGGGTCTCCAAAGTGACAAATTGAAAATTGAAGCATAAAAATGGGTCTATCCAACTGCTTGATCATATCCCCAAATTTGGGAACACCGTTAAATTTGTACTCATTACAAAAGTTCATTTTGACCGTACCTGTACAATAACAAGATTTCGGATAAATTTCCAATTCAGACAGACGAGTATCTTTGAGCTACTTGTGCTACAAAAATTTAATGAATGGCTAATAAACGGTGTAATAATTAAGAATAAATTTCATTTTTCAACTTGTAATTTGAACCCACAATTCCATAAGGAAGCCAGACCGGAATTTTTTTTTATATGAAGTACTGGCCTTATTTTCAGGCCTTCGGTACGCCCTGCCATGACCAACAATTTCGGGATATCCTGTATAAAGTGTCTATAATAAGGAAGACGTCGGTTATATATCGCGCCCGATCAAAAATGTTTAATTGTTTTCAATTTTAAGCTTTTAGCGTGGTTTTCAATGAAAGCCGTGCTTTTGTCGCTTTCTTATGATGATAATTATGTAGAATTTGCAGCACTTTGAGTGGCTTACATTTTTGGAAAAAATCCACCTCTACCCCTTATGAATTTTTGGTTAAAAATTCTAAATTTTGCATGCGTGTTCTTTGAGTTCAACGGACTGTTTCCAACGTAAGGTGCTCCTTAATATGCATATCTAAAGTGTTCGAGTCTATAATAAAGAAGTATAGTCAGCTGAACATCGCCACCGATCAAAAATCTTAAAATTAAAATGGGTCAAAAATGTTAATTATTTCGAATTTGAAGATTCTAGTGTATTTTTTAGTGAGCGCGTAGCTTTAACGCATCATGGTGATGAAAATGATGTAGAGTTGAAAACATCTTCAGACTTGAAATTTTCAGGTATAAATAAAATTTTCACATGCTTGATTTTTGAGCGCAATGCGCTTCCGAGCTAAGGAGCTGCCCAATATGCATTTATAGAGTGCTTGGGTTCATAACAAGGAAGACACCATCGCACAAAAAATCGTGACCGATCAAAAACCAGTTAAAACAGGCCAAAAAATCAATTATTTCTAATTTCAACCTTCTGGCAATATTTTTCGAAAAAAATCACCTCTACCCCTTATGAACACTTTTAAGGTCGTGGCCCATCAAAGACCGTTTAAAAGGGATATTTTAATTGTAAAATCGTGCTCTATGAATGTTTGGAGGTATTTTTACAACTGTAGTTTTTGTTCAATATTTGGGGACATTTTGAGTTAGATTTTTTAACCAACAAAGGTCCAAATAAAAAAGTTTATTTAAAAGACCACCTTTAAAATTACCTTCAAAACATGTCATCAAGATATTAGGTACCATGAAATATCTTCAGTCTCCAAAAATAATAAATCACAGAGCATTTCTAAATAAATTCCAATTACTTAATAAATGAGATTTCTGCTTACAGCTTGCACCAAGTGTGTCGTAAGGTTGCATATTACATTTTGATAAGGAATTCGTTCTTTATACATAAAGAAGGACTCCTGATCAATAGTAAAATAAAGTGAGCAAATTCAATATTTCCAAATTTCTCAACATATAGAACTTATCTATAATTTGGTTGCAAGCTCGGTTGTGATTATAAGTGACTATTTGGTAAATTGCTCGTTGATTTCGTGATTGATGCAAAAGAATGTTTCGAGTAAATGCAAAACCGACTAAACTAATTTTTTCATGACAAACTACCATTTACTACTAAATAAAGAGCGATTTGAGTTAGGCAAGGAAAATCACGTAAGCACAACTGCGATTTCTAGTAGTGCAATCTTTTTAAGTTGTGAGTGCAAACAAACAGTAAACTAAAACCAAATTAACGTAGATTTGGTTGCTGGTTACGAAATATCTTGCAGACTGGAAGCGTTGTTTACAAGGTCTTAAGGACTGTAAACAACCCTGTCCTTGTAATGATGTAGTAGCCAAGATCATCAACAGTTCACATACCTGTGTAAATGAAGAATTTTGGCTGGTCATCACTTGTTTGTGTGGCTTTTCACATTATACGCAATGTATCCTCAAAGGGGGAATGATGAAGCAGCAGAACGTACTAAAAATATAGCACACGTTGAAGCACTACCAATTAGAGAAATGTGGGAAACATCGTACTACCTTAAATAATTTGTCACCCTCAAACTTCACTTGATTAAAGTTAATCACAACAGAGAAACTAAAGCAGTGATTTCAGTGGGTTTTATTGTTATTTTTTAACAGTAGAATGTGTTTTGATTTGGATATGACACTGTATGGCTGAGAGTGCTCTTCAAGACCATATTTTTTGTGTTACACCAATTTTATTTGAAACTGGTCAGTCCTTAAAACCATCATCAGAGGACAACAAATCACACGTTTTCACTGGTTCAGCACCACTCGGTTTGGCACGTTTTTATAAGCGACTTGAACATACTAGTTCGAAAATTGATGTGCTGACAAATTTTAAAAATAGGCCACTACTAACCAATGCTACTACAAAACATACTCGTATTTGTTACATCCAGCAACTATCAACGAGCACTAGAGTTAACACTCCATTTTGTTTTGTTGATAAAAACGATTTCCACTTTTCTTAGCGCGCCATCTTTCATGCTGCTAGTTGAACTCAACATTTAGATTTCCGCTAGCAGTCACCACAAATGTTTTTATTTTAAATGGCTCTACTTCAAATACTACACTCGATGGTTTAGTAGTAATTAATTACATCTAAACGATGTGATTAAATGAGGAGTATTTGAGGACAAACAAAAGAGGCTTGGGCCAAACCCTGGAACGTATGGGTGCAATCGAACCCGCGATATTATGGAGGGATGTTTGTCCTTTTCTACTCTATTTTCCTACGACTCCAAGTCAGGGGTAGCAAATTTTATTTTAAATTCAAATTCATACATGTGACGATTTAGTTTGGGTTTAGTTTTGATGTTTTCGAGCTACGGTTTTACACTAAAAAAATGCGTCTATTGGAGCAGATGAAAAGAAAGAAATCCCTTACGTATAATAACAAAAAAGTGAGGCACATGGTGCGAACTTAAGTAGACACACTGTATATCAATCTATATATTATTGCGTAAGTGAATAAATAATTTCAAATATTATCAGAATATTCTGTTGATCTCCAGATATAGATTCAAATAAGAATATTATGAGCATATTCCGCAAAGATTGCATGTTATCTGAGAAAGTTTAGTCTTTCCAAACTTTCCAATTTGAAGCAAAAGACTCAAATAAAAAGTTTTGCAGCACAAAGTTATGAAAATATTTGCGCGAACAAGCAGTATTATTACGATGTTTGAATTGATAGAAATTGTTTTATTTTATTGCAAGCTGTTTAGCGCATATTGCAAAGAAACCGTCATAATCCCCCAGCTAGTAACTAGATTTACCGCAAACGCCAATGCAACAAAATATACATTTTCTCAAATACTGCAACCGTTTTGAATTTAATAAGCAATACGTCGCAATGTGGAAAAACACAGGGAACTCTGTTTTTGTTTTAATTGAACAGCCTAAAACTATTCTTATTTGGCAAAAAGCACTGGCAGTTTTGAGCTTCAAAAATCTCAAATTATATACAGGGTTATTCAAAACGGTCGTCATTCTTATTAAGCGTTTAGGGGTTCACTTGGACAGCACCAGATAAATATTGAACAAATTTTTAGAAATTTTTTTGCAGATATTAACAATCGAAAATCGAATTTCAACTGTTATCATAGGAGGTATTGCTGAAATCCGTCGAATTTACCTGTTACCCTGACCTATTTGAATAGTTCAAAAATGGTAAAACATAACGCAGCACGGACTACTGCTAAGGTAAATAAACACAAAAAACCGAAAAAAACCTGAAAGTAAAAATACAGAATTTTGAAAATTCTCCATAATATTATGTATAATAATTTTTTAATTTTTATTTGAATTAACTACAGTTCTTTTATTGCATTTTTATTTTATTGATTTCGACGTTTCCTGCAATTATGGAAACACTTTTATGTGAAATCGCTGTATTATTTCAGATGATGAAAAATCCTAAACGAATTTTAGTCAATTTAGATAAATTTAAATAGACATTACTTCGATTAAAATTTAATTAGCTACTTGGATTTACAAACTCGATTATTTTTTGCATTTTAATAAATTTTATTATAATAATCGGACACTTGTTTCAATTTGCGACTACTCAAGCATTTGCAGAATTCTTACTATTTGCAAGCTTGAATGGCATGACTAAGAAAAATTACTCAGTATTCCACTTACTCCAACGTAATATTTTGATTCATAAATTCGTCACCGCGCTAATTATTCATCTTGAATTTTCCCTTTAATTTTAACCGAACAAAAACAGAGACCACGTAATTGGTACAAGATGAATAAGACAAGAATAGAACGACTTCCTGATACTGGAATGGCTGGAATACGGCAAAATTTCTACGTTATTTGCGCATGGCGAGCCACTCCTAATCATACGGTATGGCGGGTTGGTAGCACATATCAGAACGGATTAGCGCGATCAAGGTTGGGTTTTATTTTACTTTATTGCCATCAAACTGTAAATATCGAAGTGTTTATCAGTGTAAATTCGATTAAATTTCAAATATCCCTTTATATAGTTATAAACAGAGTTCAGTTGTGTGAGGTTGGTAACATCAATCGTGTCTACTGTAGCGTCTAGCGGCAAGAAAAGGTACTTTTCTCCCAGTACTTCAGCCCATTCCTCAGCTTCAGGTCCGAGTCCTTTGTGCGTTCGGAGATTGTGGTACTGGTGATAAATTTAACCCGATTTTTAATGTGAAAGGTCCTTTAAATAATTATCAAAATCGAGGATAATGACCTGTGGGATACGGACTCAGTGCATTTCATAAATCGGCGAAAAACGGCATGAAAAACGCGATTTTCAACTCAAAAATGTAAACATTCATGGCTGAAGAGTACCTTTATTTCTAATATCTGCAACAGTGTACATATTAGATTCTACGAAAATGGAGCATATGGGATACATATTGTTCTTTCTGCATATCATAAGCTTGGCAGCATCCCAGACACAGCTAACGACCAGTTTTAATAGAGGTAAGTTTAAATGTTCGTCTAACTAAACATAATCTACCTGAGAGTACTGTTACTTTAGTTGGGTACTTAAATTCTCGCTTGTTACCAATGCATGCTAGGTAGACAGATATCGTAGGTAAGCTGCCCTAAGGATGCATTTTTATTTATTTCTCATCAATTCAACCATGAAATTTCACGTGTTGCTTTCATTTGAATATATTATTATGATGTTCATCCACTGTAAAAGAGGTGTATAGTTAATCGCTCATATAAACAAGCAATTAAGATGGACTGAAGTAGGGATACCTTTAAATTGATTTGAATGACTCATTCTGGTTTATCACAAGAATGTTAACAGAACTGCCTAAATTTCACTCAAATCTTTTAAATTGCTCAATATTTCTCTATCAGATCTATTTCAAATGTAGTCAACTTAAAGATCTAGGTAGTGGCTTTCTCATACTTTTCTTTATCAGTGATAAATTCCTATTTTTAACATGTCAATATGAGAGCCAATGTACTTAATATTTACTTAACTAATTCAACAAATTTCGATGCTGAACTAGATGTTGACGGTGTTTCAATAGAATTATGTTGTTTTTTATCGCACTTAATCTAATTCTGATTCAGCTACATGGACTTTTCCAAAATGTTCGTACAGTACAAACATTCTTCACCATTCGCACTCTTCACAGTGTCATTTTTACCTACTTCTGAGGTTCTTTCACCCCTGGTCTAATTATCAACCCATTAACAATTAGCTTGTCTTAAACCCAATGTTTCACAGTCAATGGTACTTAATTTTCTTAATTAGTAACATTTTCGTTTGTTCTTCCGGAGTTAAACCCGAAGGGTGTTAACAGGCTAATCTTAATTTGCAAACGGATTACTGTGACAGGCACAATATTGGCTTCTGTAGTTATTCTTGATTCCAAGATTGCCCTGATTTCAATCACTTAATTTTTGTAATTAAAATCAATCAATTTTGGTCGCATTTTCAACCAATTTAGAAGAAAAATCAAAAGCAGAAGAGGACGCCTTTAAAAAATAAATAAATGGGTAGTATATAAAATAAACTTTTTGATTCTCCTGCATTTTTGTTTTACAATTATATAATATAGGTAGTTCTAGCTGGAACAAGAATATGTTTTATATATAACAAACTTTCCTCTATTTTCGATACTCATTATTGTTCGTTGTTTTGCTATTTCCCGCTCATATTTTTTAGTTATTTCTACGTAAAATAAAACATGTTGAAATGGACTACTGCTTCAAAAAGAGTGCAAAGTCTTCATAACTAATTGTTTCTAAAGCCTAATTATTTTGTTCGGGTGTTAACCGATATTTTTGTAGATAGATAGGACGTGTCGAACTTGGACAATAAATTTAAAAGATGTACCAGAGCAGCCATTATTTATTGGCCAGCAGTTAGAACGTTTCGGTTCATTTCTTCTTCCAATTTTTTTCTCATTAGGACCATATTATCTGCATTGTCTGTCACAAAATATTTTACGGTGCTTGACTGATATTTTGATTCTCAGCAAGGATTCAGTTCAAAAACTCGTTCAGGCAAATATTGTAAAGTTAACGAACGTAAACTTCCCGAAACTCAGTAATTTTCTAATAAAAAAATTATATATTTTTTTGAATTTGAAAATCACATTTCGACTAACCCTGCTTGATTGGGAAGAATTTTTATTGGTTTGATTTGTGGATGTATGTTAGAAAATACTGAAAGTTAAGCTCAGCTGGCACTGGAGAAATTTCAGGTTTAGAACACGAAATATAATTTTCCCATAGGTGAAATACAAGCCTAAACTTTTACTGTATAACTGTTCTAACGGTTAACTAACTTTATTACTAGTCAAGTGAAATTTTGGTGTAGGTGACACTATTTTCTAAAAATCCCAGGCCATTAAACGGTTAGACCGATTTAGGACGCTTACCACTAATTACTATTAAATTTTGTTCATCGATAACCAGCTAAAGTTTAAACTGACAAAAAATGGTGGCCAGTACTTTAGCTGAAAACCTGGGCGTTTAGACATAAATCTAACAATTTTGTATCGCTATAAAAAAAGTTTTGAATTATTTCTTAAAAAGCTAAGTACCTACTTTCTGAACGAAATTTCAAATCGGGTCTTTTTTCGGGAGGAGAAATAATCTCTAAGCATTTTCTAAGCATATCGAACAGGGTGCTGTCGAACATATGGAAATTATTGCCCACTTCACAATTATTTATGGCCAGATTTGTGTTTTGGGCCACATGTTTTGTGCAAAAAAGGTCGCTTTGTAGAAATCGCTATAGGCATTCATTTTTGAGATACTTTAAGTTTAAAATTTGCCTCATCTCAGTGGCCAAGCAACTATTCGTACAGTTGAATATTCCGTAAGCTATTTGAACTAATAAGTCGTGCACTAGATTACTGTAGAATTTTAAAATTATTCGTTCTCCGTAAATGTTCGGACGGATCGGTTAATGTCTTTATAAAGACCAATTCGACGCTCTAAATTAAAATGGAACCCAACCATCAGTTTCTAGTCGTTTCTTAAAGTATCCAGAGAACTTTGAGTTCATGTCCCCAAATCGTCTTCATTATTCACGTGCTTTGAGTATATCTTCAAAAAATATTCAAGGAAAGATTGTTGCTCCGAGAGCAAAAATTGCTTTAATTAAACATTTAATCAGATGAAAAATGAACAAAAATTTCTGTTAAGTATTTATTAAGTAAAATATGTTGAAAAGTCGACAGGACCCCTTTTTTCATAAAAAGCATGTATACACACTAATCTAGTCATCAATAATTCTGATAACTGGATTATAAAAAAAACGGCTTTTAAAAGAGGATTTGCATGTCTGAAAGCGCCCGCTCTAACGGGCATAGAAACGGTTAACGTATTGTAATTTTGCGGTCCAAAAAACACCCAAATACGAATTTTTGTTCTAGTAGTAGCACTACTAATACAAATAATATTTTTCTTTAATTTTAAATTCTGTATTTCTGACCTTTTAAAAAGACTCTGTAGATATACCTATTGACTTGAGATGTGATATGAAAAATTCCCAGACTGAAGCTCTCAGAAAACTGCTGAAGTTACTTCAGTTCTTTCAAAGTACTTAGAAGATTACAAAAAAGAACCCCTGTTGCGTCTTTAGTGTTAAAACCCGACCCAATGCCGAATTTTTCAATATTTCTGATTAAATGGATAATTATGCAAAAACGCAGATATTTTTTTGGAAATCTGGCCGCCTCTGTTCTACGCGAATTTTTTCAATATTTGTGAATTTAATCACCGACTGCCGTTTCAGGAATGGAGGTCTAATAATAAGGGACCCCAATTACTGCTCCACATTCATTATTGGTTTATTAGAGTAAATCCCATTCTTAATAGGGCTTAATTAATATTTTATTAAAGGAGTTGTTGGTCCTGATTTGACGTATTCAGAGTTTGTTGCCCTCAATGAATTAGAATTAATGTTCTTTTATTGCCAGCATTTCTAGCTTATTAGCGTTGATGTTCAGATAAATTCAAAGGTTGCTTATAGCTTTATTACACGTATTTCACTGGACGTCCAAAATTTCGACTAGAAAACCCTAATAGATCCACGTTTTAAATGGAAAAGATTTTTGCATGTATAGATCAAATGTTTTCCAGTTAAGATAAAAAGTTGACTCTTGCATATGCGATTTAAAAAAATAAAACCTCGGGTTATCCCACGTCATACTTTTTGGCTGCAATTGAATAAAAAAGCAGCAGAATGAAATTGTTGATTGTTGCAAATTAAGTTGGTTTGTCACAGCTTTATAGTAGAAAAGTTTACCTTGGGCGCTCCTGTATATAGTACGGCTCTGGAAATATTTTTTTAACAATCCTGTTATTTAGCTGCGCCTTTAATTAAATTCATTGACTTTTGTCCTTGCGGGTTCTGAAAGTTTTAAAATGGAGTAATCGAAGAGCGACTTTAACCGACACCTTTGCAGGGAAAGCAATTCGGTTTAACTTAACGGTTTATCGCATGTGTGTTTACTCTCCCATATTCTAGCATACCCCACAACTCCAAATAGTTGTAAGTAATCATCAACGAAATGGGTAAATAATTTCTCCAAGTTTATAGATAACGTTTTGTATGCTAATCAAGTATATATTAAGTTCCCGGAAATTTAGTTGTCATTGTTGGTTTGGACATTTTTTTGGAAATTAATTTGGAATGATGGTTCCATTCAGGTTTTGATACTGCAGGACCCAAATTTGCATAACGGAAATATGCTAAAATATTCGAACGCGCTTGGGCAACTGCTTCGACAACCGGACAAAGCAGAATATGTTGAAATATTCACACTAAGCCACGTTAAGCTATGAGAACATGTTTATGAATCAGCAAGAATGCCCGTTTCACGATCGAACAAAGATGCAATTCTCCACATACCACTTTAAAAGCATTTTTTAATATAATTATTTTAATTATCTGTGTCTATCTAGATTTGCTTAAGAACACTGTTTAACGGTTAAGAGTGTTTAGCATTTAACCTCGATTCCGACCTTTAAAAACAAGCATTTACTTTGTTGACAACTGCCCACTTCAGACCTAGAACGGCCGGACCAATTTATCACGAGAAAGCTTCTTAAACTTCTTGAGTCCCAGGATAGAGTGTAGAATCATGTTTTTCATTGATTCAGATTTGGCTTCGAAATTCACTGTTTTTTTAATTACGTATATTCTAATAGCTATAACGAACTCCTCACGTGTCTTTTTTTAATTCCTCGAAGCAAATACACATCACTACTGCATTCTTTGCTCCGTAATATATTCTGTACACGTTCGTTTGTATTATAGAAATATTACATCGATGTAAGTTGTTTATACGTAACGACAGTGGAGGGCATAATTACACGTATCAAATCCATAGACGTTGAACTACTGTGATATCTTATTAGTATTCTCGCGTGTATTTCTTTCTAGCTCTTCCTTTATTATTCAAAACATAACAGCTCTTTTAGTATGCCTCGAAATCGTTTTC